TTTTTTTTTCTTTACAGCAACAAGCAAACCCTGAGGGTCGTCCACCAACATATCCTGAGGTCTACACCAGTAGAAGGCAGCACAAAGGAAAAGGAAAAGACCAACTGCCTATATATTGTAATGATGAGGCTCATGAAATTGGAGTAAGTATTTAACTTAACAATTTTATTTTAAATTGTGTCATGAATTAATTGAAATTATTTCAGTTATAATATTTAAACTATTGTACAATATAGTTACTGATAAAAAGTTAGAACTCCATCTTTTTAGGGGAGAGTAAATTGAATTTAGGTGCCTAAAGTGATATTTTTAATTTCACTTTAATTTTCAATACAATTAATTATTTATTTTATCTTATATTATTTCAGGAAAAATTGACAGCTGAATATGCTACTAGACAAGAGGAAGAAGGATTTGACCCTACAATACCTCATGCTGAGATATTACTTAGGGCAACTGGTGGGGTCAAGAAAGGATGGTTGAAAGGTTTGGATATTCACACACATCCACAGGATATAGGTGTGAGCACATCTAGACGAGAACCATTCAGGCCACCCATTATGGGACAGTCTAATAGGGATATCGAATTGCAGCAGACTATTGAAGCATTGAAGGCAGATAATTATAACCTTCGACAAGAAATGTCTAATGTTTTGGCAGATAATGCTAGTCTACGGGAACAACAATCGATTTTTACGACACAAATGCAGCAACTCTACCAGCATCTCGGCATGACCCCAGCGGATACCAGTGGGACAGTCACCCCTAGGACACCTCGAGATATTTAGGTTTTTCTATTTTCAATTAAATATTTGTATTGACTTTATATTTGTAATAGATATTGGAGACTTATATATTTATACTAAACTTAAAAATTTTTTTAGCATTTTATATAATAAACATCATAAATTATATGCAAATAATTCAATATCATAAAATTATGTAAGGAATATACAATTAAATTATTTTTATATTTTTTTTGAATGATATATATGGACCGATCCCGGTCCGTATATGTATATACGGACCGGGATCGGTCCGTATATGACCTCAGCCGCAATTTTTAAGGTTAATTCTAGAGAGAGAGACCCGAATATTCAAAGAGCTTCAGGAGAGCCGGCTCTATTCATGGAGCCGGCTTAACTTTAGAAAGAGAAGACTCTCGGGTTTTTGGGGGGAGCCGGCTGTGAAAGTGGTAGAGCCGGCTCTACTGGCCTTGAATGGGACAAACAGAAAGTTTGATATACGGACCGATCCCGGTCCGTATATATATATACGGACCGAGATCGGTCCGTATATGACCTCAGCAGCAAATTTTTTTTTTTTAAGGTTAATTCTAGAGAGAGAAGCCCGAATATTCAAAAAGCTGCAGGAGAGCCGGCTCTATTCTTGGAGCCGGCTTAACTTTAGAGAGAGAATACTCTCGGGTTTTTGGGTGGAGCCGGCTGTGAAAGT